GCGGCGTTCCCCTGGTCTGGCGGGCAGCGACGTGCGTTCCCCCCGAAGATTCATACCTCTTGTTCATAGGGTTTTTCTCAGTTACCATTGACGGGATGATATGTAACTACCAACACCACTGCCAGTACAGGCATTGTCAAATGTCATACCAGTTAGGACCATAGAGCTAAGAAAGAAACCAGCCCTATGTCTTTAAGTTCCCTCTTTTCTCCTCCTCGGACCTTTCTCACTGCATAGATATCTGTTACAGTCCAGGGCCTACAGCAAAGATTTGGAAGAGTTCTTACTCTCCCTTTTAGTCAGACCACTTATATGCCAAAGTCTCTTAAGGGATTGGATGAAATGACACCACGTGATTTAGTTCCAGCTGTTGAATACAAGAGAATGTTATTCCAAGCTTCTGAGCAGATAGGGATGTATGGTAAGTAGGTCTCTGGTATTGTGGATTTCAGAGACTTTGTAGACATAAAAAATTGGTGTTCCAACATTGCCAACTTTATTTTTGACAGAATTGAGGACATTTTAAAAACTGGCATTATTACTGACATTCAAACTTTTTTTTAATACTCCTCCTCAAAAGTAAATGAGGATGTGCAATTAAAGAACAGTTATTCTTTAACTATTGACACCACACACATTCTCTCTATTCTGTGTTTCTGGAAACTTGAATGTACAAGGCACATGGTTCGAATCCACAAGCTGCTCCACAGGAGAAGAATGGGCCGTCTCCTCCAGTGTGATTTACTGCCTCTGAAAACCCACTAGAGTGTCAGCTGTGGGTCACTTCTAACCCAGTAGCAAACAGCAATAACCTTGTAAGGGGGTTGCAAAAGTTACAAATACTATGAAGAATATAGGTCTAATATTTAATAATTGATTAATGGTAGCTTTTAAGAATATATTGGTTTAGGAGCTCTGGTGTCAAGAAGCTGCACGCGGCAATCCGGAAGCCGTGAGGTTCAAACCCACCAGATACTCTGCTGGAGGAGGGGCAGTCTCCTCCTGTGCCAGATGGATCAGATTCATGGTACACAACAAGAAAAGCGAGGTGGGGTGGAAAAGAGTATATTGATTTGAATGGAATGTAAGCTTAAAATACAGTTTTGAAAACATAGTTGGGTTGGGGGAGGAAGTGGAGTTTAAAATATTATTTTGTTACACTTTCCACAGCAATATCAGCTTTCAAGACATCTGTGTTGACTTGGGTGTAACTATTTGTTTTTTCTCTCTTTCCACCCTGAACAGCATATGTGGCACCCTCCATTCTGTGGATCAGGTGAGATGATAGCGAGAGTCCAGAGCTGGTCTTGGGGGAAGAGTTTAAAGGTTAAATATTTGGGTCTTGTGTCCTCTAGGGTTAATGATGTACCTTTTTTTTTTTTTTAGTATCTGAACATCAAACTAACTGACATCAGTGTCACAGACCCTGAAAAATACCCTCATATGGTGAGTTGAGGATGATGGAAAACAAACATCTTCAAAAGTAGAAAGCCCCAGGGTGGGTAGAGGCCATTTTTAAAGATGTTTTCACATTTGTCCATTTTTGTGTAGTTATCCGTGAAGAACTGTTTCATCCGTGGCTCAGTGGTTCGCTATGTGCAGTTGCCAGCAGATGAAGTTGACACACAGTTGCTTCAGGATGCAGCAAGAAAGGAGGCCCTGCAGCAGAAACAGTGATGCTTCCTCTATTTTCCTTGCCTGTTCCATTGGGGACCCTTAACTCTCTCCTAACCCTGCGCTTCTCTCATCATAGGATTTTGTTTTGTTTTTAATAGTGAAGATTTTTATTGTTTTCAGTTGTTTGTGGTTTGTTGGTTTTTTTTTTCTTTTAAAGAATGAGTGAATGAGAATTAAGAATATTAATGGGAAGTAGCTATTCTGTTGAGAAAAGGAGGCTAAGTACAGTGAGGAACTGCAAAACTGCCTCAGTCTCTAGCACCTTCCCTTTTCTCTGTTTCCATAGAGGTGGAAGAGGGTCCCCTAGATCTCCCCAGAGCAGGATGTGAATTTGTCCCGCATCGGGAATAAAATTTATAATGCAAATTTGAGTTCTGGTTTTGTGGTCTTTTTGAGCAGAAATTTGAGGACAGGGAGAGGAATGGGGAGATAGTACAGTGATGCTGAATACTCTACACTCACTCTCACGTCTAAGAACCTAGCTCAACTCTGTAGCATTACCTTCCCTGTTAAAAACCTTATATATACCTGGACTGCATGCTTCCAGAATATCCCCCTATGCACATTTCTTATTTGGCCTTTTGTCTTATACTAACTAGAACTTTGCAACTGTTTCCATACCTGTCCAAGAAAACCCAGGTTATCCACCTCTGATGCCAAATGCATGGTAGGTAATGAATACCATTGTACACATCACATCCTATGGGACTCTTAAGCTCCAATACCATTCTACACACAGCATCCTATGGGAATCTCAGCTCACCCTGGCAGGTTTTATGCGGTCTTTGGTCCCTTTTCATCTGGGTGAGTTCAGAAACAAAAGGTACCAGTCCCTTTTGGGTTTTTTAGGTCTGGTAATTCATTTCAAGCATACAAACTGTTAAAGAGAAGGTCAAACCAGCAGAAAAAAGGAATGCTGCAGAGGTTTCAAAGCAAATTTATCACATAACTAGCTCTAATGAAATCCATCCTGCAAAAGGCCTTTTCTTGGTCTCACTACATGGCAAATACATGCATTCTGAGGGTTAGCATGGAGTCCCAACTTGGTCCCTCTTGGTCTGGTCAGCCTCCTATAGGCCTCAAGTGCAGTCAGGAAACAGAACTAAAGACCAGGTTGTTAATTAAGCAAGAGGCTGCCACATCTCCTTACTGCCTTTAAGTCTATTCTTCCATTTATGTGACAGAGCTATGAGACAAGAGCAATAATTGGCTTTGCATTTTTTTCCTTAAGTCAAAATTGTGACTAGTTATATAAAAGTATTCGTGTTTTTAAACAAATGACATAACTTGTTATAAATAGGACTGGGGAAGAACAAAACTATACAGCAACAGTTCTGCAACACAAGAAGATACAGTGTTATTAAGAGACCTTATAAAGAAACCATAACTGCCACTCAAGCAGATATATACACACCATGTTTATTGCGGCTTTGTTCACAGTAGGGAAGAGTTGAAAACAACCCAAGTGCCCATCAATAAATGAATGGCTAGAGAAACGCTGGGATATTCACACAATGGGATACTATGCAGCATTGAAAAACAAGGAACTCATGAAGTATGCAAAATGGCTGACCCTGGATGGAGGACATTATGCTGAGTGAAATATCTCAGTCACAAAAGGACAAATACTGCATAGGGCCACTGTTGTAAAATGGGACTGACATCAGGGTTGAGGGAAGACAGAAGGAAGGGAGGAATGATGTATACTGCATTGAAACAGATGAGGGAGAGAATTTTTTTTTGGGGGGCTTTTAAAAGGGATATATATATTACTGTCATGACAAGAGTCCAAAATAAGGGCTGCACAGGAGTGGACTTGTGGGGAGGGATTGCCTAACAAAGTTTTCAAGGAAAAGTGAATTGGGGGGAGAGGGTGGGCAGGGAGAAAAGTGCAACAATGGATGAATGGAAACCCTGATAAAATTAATAATAAAGACCTTAGAGGCCACCTAAAGTGATACTAGGGAGCTATGCTGGCCTAGTGGTAAGCTGCGCTGCGATAGTAAACGTCCCACTCCACCAGCTCACAGCTCCGCGGAAGGATGGGCAATCTCCTGTGTGATTTTTTTGTTGTTAGGTGCAGTATAACAGCTGTGGACCCTGCTCTATGCTGTGCCGACCTCATTGTCAGTGACATCTACCGCCATTACCCCAGTCACTCCATCTCATCCAGGGTCTTTTGTGCTGTCCCACCACCCTTCCAAGCATGATGTCCCTCTCCAAGGACAGGACCCTCCTTGCAAACATGCCCCAATGATAAGGAGCTTCAGAATCCTTGCCTCAATGATAAGGAGCTTCAGAATCCTTGCCTCAATGATAAGGAGCTTCAGAATCCTTGCCTCCAGGGAGCAGCCGGGTTTCACTTCCAGAACGAACTTGTTTGTTCTCTTAGCTGTCCATTCAATATTCTCCAGCACCACAACTGAAAGGCATCAGTTCTATCATCCCTTGTACATTGTCTAAGCTTTCTGATGCATAGCAAGTAATTTTGAAGACCATGGCCTGGATCAGGCACAACTTACTGCCTCTGAAAACCCATTGGAGGGTCAGTGACTAGTCGGTTCCAACTAAACCGCAAAGAAAATACCAAGAAAAGCCGGCATGACTGCGCTCTAGGGGTTGTGGTCCTGACAAAAGGGACCACGGTCAGTCACTCCCTGTTAGATAGCGGAGGTGCACCGCCCACAGGGCCCCGCCCGGCCCCGCCTCCTGGCTCCCGCGGGGGGACCGCACTGGCTGGCCCCGAGGACCCGAGCGGGTTGCCCGCGGCGGCGCCTGACGGCAGAGCTGCTCCGCTGACAGTCCGCTGCTGTTCCTGCGCCGCGTGCTGCTCCTCGTGAATTTGGCGCGCAGTGCCGGCTCCTTCTCAGGCCAACGTCGACGCGGACAGAGCCCTCACGGCAGGCGGGTCGCAGCCGCCCCTGCTAGGACCTTCGAGCCTGGGAACGCGCTCTGTCATAAAGGAGGGGACACGTGGGCGCCGAAAGCGCCTAGCCGGGCGCAGGAAGGTAGGGTTGCCCGAAGATCACCGCTGCTAACATCCCCATCTGCCTGGCTCCTCCGCCCGAACCCGCCACGGCCCGGCCCAGCCTCACCAGTTCGCTCCAGTACGTACCCGCTCCCCTAGCTTGGGTACTCCCGGGATGCTATAGGGTTCCCAGGAGCCCCACACTCTGGAGGACCGTGATAAGGGGGCCCGCCCCCCTCCGCCCCAGGTGCTCAGACACCCTTGACCTTTGAGGCTTGGTCAGAACCACAGCCCTGGGGGTCGAGTACCTTCGGCAGAGCAGTTCCCGCGAAGGTCGCCTGCTAGGACTTCCCTAGATCCCTGTCTTCCTCTGTCTCTTTCTCCCTAGGTTTGTTACACCGTACTCCGAGGCCCTGAATAACCATGTCCATCCTCTACGTCTCTCCTCACCCCGACGCCTTCCCCAGTCTCCGAGCCCTCATAGCTGCGCGCTATGGAGAGGCTGGAGAGGGTCCGGGATGGGGAGGTGCCCAACCCCGCATCTGTCTCCAGCCACCCCCGCCCAGCAGGACCCCCTTCCCCCCACCTCGTCTGCCTGCCCTGGAGCAAGGGCCCGGTGGACTGTGGGTGTGGGGAGCCACGGCTGTGGCCCAGCTGCTATGGCCAGCAGGCCTGGGGGGTTCTGGAGGTAGCCAGGCAGCTGCCCTCGTCCAACAGTGGGTCAGTTACGCGGACACCGAGCTCATACCAGCCGCCTGTGGGGCAACACTGCCAGCCCTGGGTCTCCGAAGCTCTGCCTATGACCCCCAGGTGAGTGGAAAGGAGGAGAGAACTGGGAGATTGAAATGAACAAAGCAAGGTTGGGAAGGGAAAGAAAGGTTAGGATGGATAATGAAAGAGAAGCCTGGCAGGGTAACCCCGGGCACATTTCTTAAACTTTGCGAGCCTTGGTTTCCCTATGCCTGTGAAACAAGTGATGCAATACATCCCTCACTGATTTAAGAAGGTGTGTGCAGAAAACTTCACACAGTGCCTTGATCTTCAAAGTCTTAAATGTCTGCTGAATCTGAAACTGGGGAGGATAGGAGTTAATTTGAAATTAAGGGGGGAAACAGTATGAGGCAGAGATGGACTTGGGCAGTTTGGGCAGGGAAGGGAATGAGTAATGAAATGAAGAAGAGAAGGAAGCAAATAACTAATAGATTGTGCTACCACGTTGTAATTGTCCCTCCAGAGTGTGGCTGTGCCTAAGCGTTTTTTTTTAGTCCCTAGCAGAATATTGAGCACATGGTGGATGTTTAGAATTTCATCACTGACCAACAGATGCTTATGGAGCGTAAACTCTGGTTTGCTCCTTCAAATCCAGGTCACCTTATATGAGAACTCTCATGGAGCTCCCTGCTGGCCCTTCACCTTGCTTTGTTTTTCTTCCTAGCACCAAAGGAGATTAAAATGAAGTAATGCATTATAGGTTTGCTTGTTTATTGTCTCCCTTTCTAAAATGTGAACTCCAGCAGATCAAAGGCTTGACCTAGTTGTTCAAGCTGTCACTTTAAACCTTAGCGTAGTGCCTGGCACATGAATAAACACAACAGTTACCATGACATTCATTCCGACTCACGGGGACCTCCTGTACCATAGAATTTTTTTTTTAATAATACTTGATTGTGTTGTAGGTGAATTTTAGCAAAGCAAGTTATGTTCCCCTTTAATAGGTTTTTTTCCCTTTAACAATTTTTATACAGATTTTTCTGTCCTATTAAAAGTTTTATGTGTCAACATTTGTCATTATGTACATTCTGTTTGTTCTGTTTTTATTAATCTAACTTTCCTTTCCCTTCTTGCCTTCTCTCCTTTGTTTTCAGATAAATGTTGATTGTTTGGTTTTATGCAGCTCTTTGTTTGAGGGAACATATTACTCATAGGTGATATTGTCTATTTTGTAAGCAAATCTCATTTCGCTGAAGGTGACCTGCAGATACGTCTTCAATTCCATGTTCAAAGATGATCTTTGAGGCAAGAAGCTGCACTGCAGTTGCTGCAGTCCTGAAGGCTCGTGGTTCGAATCCACCATATGCTCCTCTGGATAATATCAGAATATCCTGTGCCAGTCAGATCCGATCAGTACACAAGAAGAAGAAGGAAAAAAAAGATGTGCAAAGGTCGTCTTTGGACACTAGTCTCAGAGGTTTATCTAATCTCTTTCAGTTTAGTAGATTTGGCCTCCTTAAGGAATTTTATCTGACATTCTGTCATGTTCCTGCTCAGAATGGTCAATATTGATAGTCATATAGCATTTTAGCATCCACTTTTTCTAGTCTCAGATTTGAAGAGGTTGGAGTTCATGTAGGTTATTAGTTCTATGGATTGTTTTCTTCTCTTATCCTTTGATTGTCATAACTTTATTTTGTTCCTAATTATGTGGCTCATAAAAAATTATGGTTAGTATTGAGAAGAATAGAAATCCTAGAACACTTAATTGTGCTTATGTGAAACCTATACACAGACTAAGAATCATTTATCCTAATGACAGGTGAACAATTGCATGATTTAAAATCAGGAAAAGTGTGTGTCAGGGTTGTAAACCAAGCTCCATCATTTGAGAAGCTGAGCTCCATGAAGGAGAAGGTGACATCAGGATTGGAGGAAAACTCATCGATAACCTGTGTTATGCAGATGACAGAACCTTTCTTGCAGAAAATGAAGAGGATGTAAAGCATTTCCTCCACAAGAACAAAGACTGCAACCTTCAATATGGATTACATGTCAACATACAGGACATAAAAATCCTCAAAATATTGGTCCTCAACTGGACCAATAAGAAACATAGAAGAGATTGAAGTTGTCTAAAATTTGATTTTACTTGGATCCATAATTAGTACCCATGGTAGTAGCAGTCAAGAAGATCAAAAGATAAGTTGCATTGGAAAAATCTGTCAGAGTCCTCTTCAAAGTACTAAAAAACCATGATGTCGGTATAAAGAGTATGGCATGCTGGATCTAAGCCCTGATATTTTCAGTTGCTCCGCATGTATCTGAAAGTTGAATGCCTTTGGATTTGAATTGTTATGTTAGAGAAGAGTTCTAAATATCCCATGGACTGGCAAAAGAACAAATCTGTCTTGGAGGAAGTACACCAGAGTGCTTCTTAAAGGCAAGGGTAGTGAAACTTTGTCTCACATACTTTGAGCATGTTGTCGGGAGGGGCCAGTCCTGGGGAAAAGACATCATTCTGGGAAAGAAGGAGGGTCCGAGAAAGAAGGAAAATCCTTAACAAGATAAAGTGACTTTAACAATGAACTTGAGCACATGAGAGGTGAGGATGGCATAGACTAGGACAAGGTTCAGATCTGTCGTTTAGAAAGTTGGTTCTTTGAGTCAGTGTTCATTCCACAGCACCTGACAACAGTAACAACTGCTTTTGCTCTTAAATGGCTGCTTGCCCTTTTAAGACCACAGACATTAACTCACCAAACTTGGATATAAACCATTATTTTTTTGAAATGTGTTATATACCATTTGACAAGTTGTCTGCTGACATTGGTTTCCAGGCCCTTGAGGCCATAAACCAATCCGGTGTCTACATATGTCTAAGGAGTCTGTAATTTAGTGCTAAGTGTTTTGTTGGCTATGTGGAGGTATATATATGCAGAACGCATAGATGTGTTCTATGAAGAGTTCTGGTGACACAGTGTGTAACATATGAGACTGCTGACTGAAAGGTCAGCAGTTTGTATACATCTACCACTTTGTAGGAGAAAGACGAGTAGTCAGTATCCCCTATAAAGCTTTTCAGTCTGATGGAAGGTCACTATGTGTTAGAACCAAGACACTGAGGTTTTTGGTTTATAGATAATAGCACTGCCAGCCCAAAGGCGCAAATCTACAGTGTGGTGTTCTGTGCCATTCAGTCAGAACTAATGCATAGCTGACCCTCCAGCAGGTTTTCAGAGGTAGTAAATTACCCAAGAGGAGACTACCCATCTTTCTCCCATGTTGCAGCTGGTGATTTTGGACCATTTGCCTTTGGGATTGGAGTGCAGCTTCTTACCACTAGGCCACCAGAACTGTCTGTATGTTGTTACGTTCTGATAGGAGAATTGATACCTTTGAGCTGTGTTACTGGGGAAGAATATTGAATATACCATGGATTACTCTAGGAGAACAAACAGGTTCATCCTAGAGAGGGTAAAACCAGGCTGCTCCTTGGAAGCAAGGATTCTGAGCTCCATCTGACATCCTTTGGGCATGTTGTAAGGAGGGACTAGTCCTTGGAGAGGGACAGCATGCTTGGAAGGTTGGAGGGACAGCATAGGAGAGGAAGACCCTGGATAAGAAGGATTAATGGCTGTATGTTGTGTGCTCTAGCATCAGAGCAGACTCATAGCTGACCCTCCGGAGGGTTTTCAGAGGCAGTTAATTATGTGGGAGGAGATTGTCCATCTTTCCACAAAGCAGCTGGTGGCCTCGAACTGCATGCGTTGGGGATTGCAGCACAACTTGTTGCCACTAGGCAACCATTTGCTGGCAATGTCTGTATATACACTCAATTTTTTTTACAATAGTTGGATTATATGGTACTTATCTATTTGTGATTAATTTCACTCAGCACAACAAAACCAAAAACCCACTCCCATAGATTTGATTCCAACTCACAGCCAAATTTTACTTTAGCAGTGTAACTAACGTGTAACATACTATACCACATTCCCTGAATTCATCCATGTTATTAAGATGTTGTGTGGACTCTTCATTATTCTTTAAAGTTGTGTAATATTCCATTTTATGTAAGTTGTATAGTATGACTGGTTTATTCATCTGTTGATGAGCACTTGCTTCATGGGATTTTCTTTTTGTTATTTGTTTATAACTCATCCTTATTTAATATAGTCATTCAGGAACATGGACCAATGACAATTTCCTTAACTCAATCCAAAAAACTTCTTTACATTCCAAAATCATGTTGTATTCTGAAAGTTACTAGTCTTCCTTATTTCTTAAATTCTTCATGGAATCATAATTTCTGTAGAAAGATGCATGTGCCTTCTTTCTTGGTTCGGTTACTGCAAACTTAAAATTACAGTCTCCTGGAACATACTGAATGCTCTAGCAGTATGAATTCACAGATGCTTAGCTGGAAAGCCTCACATCTGAAGTTCATCTAAACACTGGAAGGTGTGGTTATTCTCCTTCAACATCTGTGCATCCTTCCTGACTGACAGAGAAACTCCACAGGGTATTCGGTAGTTGATTTTTCAGAAGCTGATCCCTAGCCCTTACTTGAGAGGTGCCTCCGGGTGGACTCTTATTTAATGCCAGCCTTTCAGTTAGCAACTGAGTGCATTTGTAGGACCCAGGGACACCTAACTAAGCACATAACCAAAACCCAACTCATTGTTATGGAGTTGATTCTGACCCACAGAGTAAAACTGCCTCCTAGGATTTCTAGGACTGTAATCCTTATATAAGTAGACTACCACACTTTTTCTCCAGAGGAGAAGTGGCTGGTAGGTCCAAACCACCAACCCTTCAATTAACTGGGTGCTCAATGACTAAAGTTCCTTACCAAACACATTAATTTATTTTAAAGAATTAATAAAATTTTTTTAAGCAACTACTGTGTTACCTCATATAATCTGTGATTAATAGTATCTGGTACATAATAGGTGTTTAAGGAAGCTGTTTTTGTTTGGTTTTTTATAATTTGAGAAGAAACTGACCTCAGAGGTTGAGGGGAGGGAGCCAGATGGATTGGATTCTGAGAACCAGGTGGGGATTGAGGTGCGCCAAGCCTTGTCTCACATCCCTTCCTCTTCCTTGCAGGCTGCACTTGGGGCACTGGGCCGAGCCCTGAGCCCCTTGGAGGAGTGGCTTAAGCTGCATACTTACCTGGCTGGGGAGGCCCCTACACTGGCTGACCTGGCAGCTGTAACAGCCTTGCTGTTGCCTTTCCGATATGTGAGTCACTGTGGCTTAGGGAAGGATGAGGGCAGCTCCTTTTGAGACCCCTCCTTAGGATGATGAAGGTTGCTCATTTCTTTTTTCCTTCCCAGGTCCTGGATCCCTCAGCCCGCCGGATCTGGGGTAACGTTACTCGCTGGTTTGTCACCTGTGTCCAGCAGCCAGAATTCCGAGCAGTTTTAGGAGAGGTGGTTCTGTACTCAGGGGCCAGACCTGTTTCCCAACAGCCAGGTGAGGGATTTTTGGAGTGGAAGGATTGTGATTCTCTAGGGCTTTCCAGGAGCTATGATGGCTTAGTGGTAAGGAATGTGCTGCCAGCCCAAAGATACGCAGTTCAAATCCACCAGCTGTTGCACGTGAGAATGATAGGCGGTCTCCTATCAAATGATTTACTGCCTTTGAAAACCAGCTGGAGGGTCGGTCAACTATGGGTGGGTTCCAACTCAGCAGTACACAGCAATGACAACAGAGCCTTGCATGTAACTAATTTCTTTCAAGAATAGTAGAATCATTTAAGGATTGAGAAGGGGATAGTGGGAGGATTTTCATGGGAGGGCCCACAGGCAACTACAGTAGCCCATCCGAAGTGTAGTGATATATATTCTTAGAAAGTCCCTAATGAGTTCAGGCTGAGTTTGCATTTTTTTTTTACTTCTTCAGGCTCTGATGTCCCTGCACCATCAAAGTCAGCTGCTCAGCTCAAGAAAGAGGCAAAGAAACGGGAAAAGCTAGAGAAATTCCAGCAAAAGCAGAAGATCCAGCAGCAGCAACAATCTTCAGGGGAGGTGAGAGACCGAGGGTGGAACTTGCAGAAAGGCTGGCACCTTGGGTGGGGTAACTGACGTCTGTACCTATGTCTTTTCCTCTTAAACAGAAGAAACCCAAACCTGAAAAGAGGGAGAAACGGGATCTTGGGGTCATTACCTATGACATCCCAACTCCACCAGGGGAAAAGAAAGGTATGAGGGTGGGAAAATAGATTCACCCTTCACTTCCACCTTCCTTAGCTCCGTTTCTTAAGCTTTTACTTCTTGCTTCATCCTTGCTCCCACTATGCTTTGTATGGTGGCAGGCCTCACAAACACTCAGTGATATCTTGTAATGTGAGGAAGGCCTAGAGCTCCTCTCTGCTGGCCTATTCCCTTCCACTTCCTTTCAGCCTTGGCACTGACCCCACTTCCCCTCTCCCCTAGATGTCAGTGGCACCATGCCCGACTCCTATAGCCCCCAGTATGTGGAAGCAGCCTGGTACCCTTGGTGGGAGCAGCAGGGCTTCTTCAAGCCAGAATATGGGGTGAGTGGGCATTACCACCCAGGTCTAGAGGGTATGAGGCAGGGAGGGGCAGGGTTGAAGGATACACTGATTGGGAGGTAGTGGGGATAGGTAACATGAGGCCTAAATGTGTATCCCATCCCTCCACTCCCATCAGCGTTCCAGCTTGTCAGCACCAAACCCCCGAGGCATCTTCATGATGTGCATCCCACCCCCCAACGTGACAGGCTCTCTGCACTTGGGCCACGCCCTCACCAATGCCATCCAGGATTCTCTGACTCGATGGTGAGCTTCTTTTCTCTCTGAGCTGAGCTGGTCCTTTCTACTCTCTCTCCCCATTGCTGTGACTTTCTTCTCTTCCCTGATTGGTACCCTCCGCCCACTTTCTTTTTTCTTTAATAATGTATTATTTTTATTGTTGACAGTATACATAGCAGACAGAGTTCTGTGGGGGATTTTGTTTGTTTTTGTATTATTTCTTATTATTTTTTGTGTGTGTACCATCAAATCAGATCTGACTGCTACAGGAGGAGATTGCCCCTTCTTCTACAGGAGAGCATCTGGTGGATTTGAACCACTTACCTATGGGATTGCAGTGCAGCTCCTTTCCACTAGGCCACCAGAGCTCCCTGGACAAAGTTTTGTGTTTTTTGTGGGTTTTTTTTATAAAATACATATTTTTATTAGTTTTAATGAAAATTTACAGAGACTTTGGATTTCCATTCATTCATTGTTGCACTCTTTTCCCTGCCCACCCCTTCCCCCCACAGTATACTCTTCTCTTTGAAAAGTAAAAGATAAATTCTTTCATTGTTTTATAATCCCTCCTCCCAGGGCCATTGCACTATGCAGCCTTCGTTCTGGACTCCTGTCATGACAATACTACCCAAACACGTATCACCTTTAAACAGTTTTCTCCCTCATCTGTTTAAATGCAGTATACATCATTTATCCCATCTTTCTCAGTCTCCCTCAACCCCAATGTCAATCCTGTTTTCAACAGTGGCACTATGCAGTATTTGTCCTTTTGTGACTGAGATATGTCGCTCAGAATAATGTCTTCCAGGATCACCCATTTTGAATATTTCATGAGTTCCTTGGTTTTTTATTTATTTTTTTAATTTAAATAGCATTCAGTTTATTACAAATATTTAGTGTTGGCTTCCCATATTCCCCCCTTTTGTTTGTATCATAATTATTATCTAGATGAGCATGAGTTCCTTATTTTTCAATGCAGCGTAGTATTCCATTGTGTGAATATACCAAAGCTGCTCTCTCCATTCGTTTGTTGATAGGCACTTGTTTCCAACTCCTTGCTGTTGTGAACAAAGCCGCGACAAACATGGGTGTGCATATATTTGCTTGGGTGGCATTTATGGTCTCTTTGGGGTATATTCCAAGTAGTGGAATTGCTGGGTCACAGAGTTTTTATAGGTATAATTTAGTATATTGATTATGTTCTTCTGAATTGTACAACCATTCTTACTTCCCTTTTTTGAGCTGTTCCTCCCACTTTAAAACCTTAAAGTTCTTAGCTAATCTTTCAAACTGTCAGTTTGATTCTATATGTTGTTGTTGTTAGGTGCCATCGAGTCGAGTACAACTCATAGCTACCCTATGGACAGCAGATATGAACCCTGTCCTGTCCTGTGCATCGTCATCATCTCTGACATACTTGGGTCCATTGCAGCAGTCACTGTGTCAATGAATGTATCTCATTGAGAATCTTCTCTTTCACTGACCCTCCACATTTTCTAAGCATGCTGTCGCTCTCCAAGGAATAACAACCTCTTCTTGGAACAAGCCCAAAGTATGGGAGATGAAGCTTTGTCATCTTTGCCTCCAAAGATCACTCTGGCTCTACTATCTGCAAAGTGCATAGTGTTTGTTCTTTTGGCAGTTCATGGGATAGTCAGTACTCTTCTCCAGTACCACAGCTAAAGGTATCAATTCTTCTGTCATCCTTATTCATTGTCCAGCTCTCAGATGCATAGCAAGTGATTGAAAAGACCATGCCCTGAATCAAGTGCACCTTAGTTTTCAAACTGATGTCATTGTTTGAGAGGTCCCTGACTACAGACTTTCCCAATGCAATATATTCTTTGATCTCCTGATAAGTTGTTGACAGTTTCAGTCTTTTCTCAATCTAGTATGATGTTGTCTGTCAGTCCAGTGGTGAGAATTTTTGTTTTCTCCAGATGTTGAGATATAATCTATATTGAAGGCTATAATCTTTGATCTTCTGTAGCAAGTGCTTCAAGTCCTCCTAACTTTCAGTAAGCAATGTTGTATCATCAGTATAATGCAGGTTATTGAACAATCTTCTGAGCCTGATGCCACATGCTACTCATAGAAGAGGCTAGCTTCTCATATAATTTCCTCAGCATACAGATTGAATAGATATGGTGAGAGAATACCATCCTGATGCACACCTTTCTTAGTTTTAAACCATGTAGTGTTCCCTTGCTCTGTTCACACAACAGCCTCTTGGTCTAGGTTTTGTTTGAGCACAATTAAAGGTTTTGGGTTGATTCCTTATAGGTCTTAAAAGAGTGTAATATTGAAGACAAACGTTCTTTACTAGTAATGCTAAAGGTTTTAAAAATTCCTTAAGGCATAATTTTTGCTTAAAGTTTAAAGAGTAACTCAGGGCAGTGGTTTCAGTGGTTCATTTCTTCAAGACTTCAGAAAATCTAGAATCTATAAGAATTTGAACTTCTGTTCTACGTTTTACCCCTTTTGATTAGGAATCGTCTGTAAATAGTCTTCTGTTTACGACATTTTGTTCCAGAAACTCCTTCAAAAATCTGTTCTGACAGAAGTCAAATATAATTTTATTATTATTATTAAATGTTATTAGTTTTAATGAACATTTACAGAGATTTTGGGTTTTCATTCATTCATTGTAGAAGTCAAATACAATTTTTAATGTCTTCAGTATTACTGCCTTTTTTATCACTATCTTTATAAATTCCTTTTTTTGTCTTTGGAAACTGAAAATATTTCACTTAAACACTTGCCAGTGAACATCAGAGATTGAGAATGTCAACAGATTACACACTGCATCATTGTATGTAACACCAAAACATACTTAGACTATTGTTCATGGTAATTGACCTATAATGAATCATTCATCAAAATACCCAGCCAGTGACAAAAGAAGCAATTAACCAAACTTTGTTTTCTCCTCCTATCCTGGCTCTCCTTCCTCTGTTGCTAGGAGGTAGAACAGAAGCACCAAGTATATTATTAGACCAGTTTACTGGGATGGCCCATGAAACCGTAACCTTAAATCTCTTTAAGTCAAAGAACCAAAAAAATCCCATGAAATGTTTGGTTGTCCATAAGCAGTTTAAGCAGCACTCCCCTCCCCCCCCCCCCCCCCCCCCCCCCCACTGCAAATGTATCTGTTATACAACTTTTACCAAATCGGCTTTTTACAAGTAGTTTATTGATTAGTGTAATTGGCTATGCAGCCCACTCTTCTTCATCCTTGGCTCTCAGCTCTGCCCTCTGGTGGCAGCACATCCATCATTTCTCTGTGATCATAGTCGAGTTGGCTTGATCCAGCATCCTCACTTTGGGCTCTCTACCTACCAAAAATGGCATTATTTTCACTTGAGAAAAAAAATGTTAATATGTTCTCTTCTTTTAGTCTTTTTATCTTCTAGGACAATATTCTTGTTGTTGTAACATCAATTTTTATTTTATACTCAGAGATGTTAGTTGTAAATTTGCAAAGGGAGAGGTGAATGGTTACTTCCTTGATACAGTCTTGAGGAATAGGACATATGTACAACATAAGGACACCTTGGTAACAAAGACCTGGACCAAGGAGGAAAGTTTCCGTAGAGCTGCTAGTGAATTCAAACTGCACATCTTTCAGTTAGCAGCTGAACACTTAACCATTGCACCACCAGGACTCTTTTTCTCACAGTGTAATATCTAAAAGTGTACATTTAGAACACCTGCTCCAGTGGGAGTCTTAGTCTCAAACAAACTGACTACATTTTTTTCCTTTACTGGTGTGAAGTGCTACTGTTAGTAACTACTAGTTTGCTTAGACCTCTTGTGTTCTCCTCTGTTCCTTTGTACTTCTGCTGTAACCTTTTGTTATAACTAGAGCTTTCTCATGCTTTACTGTCTAGTTGGACAGTAGCATCTTCTTTGTTGTTCTTTTTCAAAATTGTCTTGGCTTTTCCTTTAAGCGTATTGACTTTCTACCCACAAGCCTCTTCTCCCTTTGATGCCAGCCTCCCCTAGCCCAGCTAACCCTCTGGGTTGCCCTGGTGGTGAACTTGGTCCTCCACCCACCTCTCCTAGGCACCGCATGCGTGGAGAGACCACTCTGTGGAACCCGGGTTGTGACCATGCAGGCATTGCCACCCAGGTGGTAGTTGAAAAGAAACTGTGGCGTGAACAGGGGCTGAGCCGACACCAGCTGGGCCGAGAGGCCTTCCTGCGAGAAGTCTGGAAGTGGAAGGAGGAGTGAGTATGCACTGCAGCCCTGCTTCCCGACCCTGCCCTCCACATCCGCAGCAGAAATCTCTATCGCCTGTGACAGCTCCTGGCTGTATGGGGCAGAAATCCTCCTAGAGGCTGAGAATCACATGGCTCCCAACCTCATGTCAAGTTGAAGGGATGCCCAATCACCACACTACCACATCAAGCCCCCTCCCTGCCTTCCCCAGTGCCTTCTTCTAGCCCAGCCCTGAATACTTATCCTGGACGGCCTGTCTGTTCACTCCCAGGAAAGGTGACCGGATATACCACCAGCTGAAAAAACTTGGCAGTTCTTTGGACTGGGATCGAGCCTGTTTCACCATGGACCCTGTGAGTGTGAGGCATCTCAGCTGGAGTGAAGGGGGCACAAAGTGGAGAGAGCTGTATCCCCAGGACAGCAGCTTTTTCACAAGAAACCACTGAGGGCCCCGTTGCAGTCGTCACTCCCCACCCTTGGCGTGGCTCTTGCTCGCCTTCCCTGCTGTATTTCCTTCTACTCACCAAGCCTTGTTCATCCACGGAGCCTGCCCTGTCCCAGTGCTCTGCCCCAGCACTTGGCTCTTGCTGAATACTCCCTACCATTTCTGGCATCATCAGACATACTCTCTACCCTTTGTTTTTGTTGTCCCTTCTACCCTTCAAGAAAAGTACGTTACTCTTCCAGCTTATAAAGGGGTCTTAATACTGGGAGATGGGACTGCAGCCCCCTATTCTAGGCTAGCCAAAGCTCTCTGGACCTTGCTACTTGACCAGGCCCCTGCACACCAAGGGACATCTCTTTCTCTCACACCTCTCAGAAACTCTCCGTGGCTGTGACAGAGGCCTTTGTCCGGCTCCACGATGAAGGGGTTATCTATCGCAGTACCCGTCTGGTCAACTGGTCTTGTACCCTCAATTCTGCCATCTCAGATATCGAGGTGAGCCGCCCTCCTTCCCAGACCCTCCCCTTCTCCTCTTTTGTTTTTTTTTCCTCGACCCCAGCCCATGGCCACTTGTTTTTACTACCCTCTCACAGGTGGATAAGAAGGAACTTCCAGGCCGCACCCTGCTGTCTGTGCCTGGTTATAAGGAGAAAGTGGAGTTTGGGGTCCTTATCTCTTTTGCCTACAAGATCCAAGGCTCAGGTGGGACATCACCATTCTGGGCTGGATCGGGTGGGGGTGTGGGAGTGGGCCGGGCTGAGACCACCAGGCAACTTCTCCCCCTAGACAGTGACGAGGAGGTGGTGGTAGCAACAACTCGAATTGAGACGATGCTGGGTGATGTGGCTGTGGCGGTGCACCCCAAAGACCCCAGATACCAGGTAGTGAGGATATATTTGGGAGTGGGTGGGGTGGTAACTGAAACCCATAGCTAAAGAGAAACAATGAGATGCTCCATCTTCCAGCAGTTTCCTGACCCAGAAGATAGAGCCCTCAGTGGTCATTAGAGGCAGTTGGCTGTTGAGACAGAACCAAAAGGGAAGGGACTTGACGTTTTTGGCATTTTCTTCTGTTCCCAGCACCTGAAGGGGAAGAGTGTCATCCATCCGTTCGTGTCTCGGAGCCTTCCCATTGTCTTTGATGATTTTGTGGACATGGAGTTTGGTACAGGTAAGCAGGTACAGGCTGGTCCTGATGAGAGAGGAAGAATGGAGACCATGAAGCACCGTTGACCATCCATCTTTTTTTATTATATATATTAACTGCTTAATTTATTGACCACATTCTTAAAGAGAAATATTAGTCTCGACTGGATAGACTGGGCTTGGGCTGTGCATTTGGGAAGTGGAAGGAGGGCAGGCACAATCTGGGAGCATGTTCTTGAGGAATGGGGAGTGGGGCCTCTGCCAAAGATCTGATGTTACCCACAGGTGCGGTGAAGATCACACCTGCCCATGACCAGAATGACTACGAGGTTGGGCAGCGCCACGCACTAGAGGCTATCAGCATCATGGACTCGCGTGGGGCCCTCATCAATGTTCCCCCGCCTTTCCTGGTGAGGTTCCTGGGGCTTGGGGCTTGAGTTGGGGAATAGGAAGGCTTTTCTCTGCATGGCTGTGACAAAGCCTGTCTCTCACTCAGGGCTTGCCTAGGTTTGAGGCCAGAAAGGCGGTGCTGGCAGCGTTGAAGGAGCAGGGACTGTTCCGGGACATAAAGGACAACCCCATGGTGGTGCCCCTTTGCAAGTGAGGGTGGGGATGGAATGTGTAATGGAAGCAGGGAGGAGGTGGTAGAGGGGCTTCTCGGGGTGCTGACCAGCCCACTGTGTGCACGCTAGCCGTTCCAAAGACGTGGTAGAACCTATGCTGCGGCCACAGTGGTATGTGCGCTGTGGAGAGATGGCCCAGGCTGCCAGTGCTGCCGTGACAAGGGGCGACCTTCGCATCTTGCCTGAGTTCCATCAGCGGACATGGCACGCCTGGATGGACAACATCCGGTGAGTAGCACCATTAAGGTAAGGAACTGAGCTGAGCACAGTCTGGACCAAGGCATCTTCCTGCCCTCCCTGACTGAGCCACTATCGTACCCACCCTCTGCAGGGACTGGTGCATCTCCCGGCAGCTGTGGTGGGGCCATCGCATCCCAGCCTACTTCATCACCGTCAATGACCCTGCTGTTCCCCCTGGAGAGGTAAGGATGGGGCCAGGGCTGGTTGCTGGACCATCTGAAACAGCTGTGTGTTTAGTAGGGTGAGGGTTTAGAGGGAAAGACGTAGAGGCCTCTTGGGTACTCATCCTATCCCTTGGCAGGATCCTGATGAACGTTACTGGGTGAGCGGGTGCAATGAGGCAGAGGCCCAGGAGAAGGCAGCCAAGGTGTTTGGAGTGTCCCCTGATAAGATCAGCCTCCAGCAAGGCAAGGCGAGCCCTTTAGGGAGGGGGAGGGCCTCTGATCCTCTCACTCTTCTCTCTGACCTCTGACCTCTGGCCTCTTTCAGATGAGGATGTATTGGACACCTGGTTCTCCTCTGGCCTCTTCCCCTTCTCTATTCTGGGCTGGCCCAACCAGGTGGGTTCTTGGGGTCAAATAAGGGTTGGATGGAAGTCTTAGAGGTGGGGTGATTGGCTCCACCATCACACTGTCCTCTCTCCTCAGTCAGAAGACCTGAGTGTGTTCTACCCAGGAACGCTGCTGGAGACAGGCCACGACATCCTTTTCTTCTGGGTGGCCCGGATGGTCATGCTTGGCCTAAAGCTCACTGGCAGGCTGCCTTTCCGAGAGGTGTGAAGCCTGCTTAGATCCTTCCCCCAGCTCACCTCTCCTCTGCTCTGGGCTGGTGTCTTGAACTCAGCATGGGAGGGATATGGCGTGGAGCTTCTATAAAGACCTATAGGAGGAGGGCTGAGAGTTACTCGGGTTCATAGGCCACATGCCCATCTGCCTGCCCCATAGGTCTACCTCCACGCCATTGTTCGAGATGCCCACGGCCGGAAGATGAGCAAGTCTCTAGGCAATGTCATCGACCCCCTGGACGTCATCCATGGAGTCACCCTTCAGGTGGGGCTGGGCGATGGGTCAGGCTGAGAAGAGGCTGTGGGGGTGCTGCCGCAGCCAACTAACACTTAAATCATCACCCTCAGGGTCTCCATGACCAGTTAATAAACAGCAACCTGGATCCCAGTGAGGTGGAGAAGGCTAAGGAAGGACAGGTATGAAAGGGATGGAAGCAACCTGAGTGCTCATGGATAAAGAAAATGTGGTCCATGCACAAAGTGGGTATTACTCAGCCACTTGATGTCCTAATGCATGCCACAACTCGCGTGGTGAACATGGAAGATGTTACACTGAGGAAACTTAAGTCATTCATTAACAAATATTTTATGTTTTCATTGACATAAAAGTATCTAGAATAAGCAAATATACAGACAGACACCAAGGGTTATTGGTAGTTTTATGGGGTGGAAGGAGGGAGGGAGGGAAAGAGAGTCAATGCTTAGCACTGAGTTTCTTTTAGTCAGTCAGAGTCATTGCCGTGGAGTCAGAACCAACTCATAACTGACCACCGTGTGGTGAGTTTTTGAAAGTTGTAAGTCACTGGAGAGGAGATTGTCCATCCTGTGGAGCTACTGGTGCCTTCATCCTGCCAGAGAGGTGCCAGCTTTGGGTTAGGACTGCACCTCCCCATCCGCTAGGCCACAGAGCTCCCTGAGTTTCTATTAAAGATGATGGAAGCACTTGAAAATGGATAGTAGTGAAGTTTGTAACACAATGAATGTAGTTATTGAATTAGACACTCAAAATTTTTTTTAAATGGCAAATGTTATTAACATTTTCACCACAGTTTTTAAAAAATTAAAGGACATATCTGGAGGTGGGGTGGTTGAAGACACCTCTCCTTCTATCTCTTCCCTGTAGAAGACAGACTTCCCAGCAGGGATCCCTGAGTGTGGTACTGACGCTCTCCGATTTGGGCTCTGTGCCTACACGTCCCAGGGTATGGCCCCCACAGCCTCCCTTGTCTACCTCCTTTCTCCTTTCCTGAGGCCCACCCTCTCCTTCTCTACTCTTGGCCCTTGGTGAGATAGGCTGGAAAAGAAATTAAGTTAAGACTCAACTTTTCACCCTCACCTAGGCCGGGACATCAACTTGGATGTGAACCGGATATTGGGCTACCGCCACTTCTGCAACAAGCTCTGGAATGCCACCAAGTTTGCCCTCCGGGGCCTTGGGAAGGGCTTCGTGCCCTCACCTACCTCTGAGGTAAAGACCTGACATTGGCATGCAGGGGTGTGGGCAGCACCCACTCAAGCTGCTCCTCTGCCACTCCATTAACAGGATTATAGACAGAGTCCAAGGCCAGTTTCTGCCCTGAGGAACTTTCATGTAGTTGAGAGGTTGGGTGGATACAAGGAAAGCCCAGGGCATTGAGGCTTTCTCTAGAGGATGCTGGGGTATGTCCCTTCTCCCCAAGATACTAGACATGTGTTTGGTTGCTTTGAGGACCCCATCTGTCTCCTGGAATACAGAGCTGCCCATGCTCCTGCCCCATGGGTGGAAGATCTCTGTTTCCAGCCCCTGGCATGAGGAGGGCTCCCTGGCTCATACATTCACTTTCCCTCGAAGCCTGAAGGCCATGAGAGCCTGGTCGACCGCTGGATCCGAAGCCGGCTGGCTGAAGCCGTGAGGCTCAGCAACCAAGGTTTCCAGGCCTACGATTTCCCAGCAGTCACCACTGCCCAGTACAGCTTCTGGCTCTATGAGCTTTGTGATGTCTACCTGGTGAGAAGGAGCAAGTGGAGCCACAAGAAGGGGCAGGGATGGAGGGAGATAGCTTTGGAACCAGGTTTGCTGGGGGAGCTGCTGTGGAGCCTGAATCACCCCTTCGCTAACCATGACTCCTCCTGTACTCTCCCCTAGGAGTGCCTAAAGCCCGTGCTAAACGGAGTAGACCAGGTGGCGGCCGACTGTGCCCGACAGACCCTCTACACCTGCCTGGACGTTGGCCTGCGGCTCCTCTCCCCTTTTATGCCCTTTGTGACTGAGGAGCTATTCCAAAGGCTGCCCCGGCGGACACCACAAGCCCCCCCTAGCCTCTGTGTCACTCCCTACCCAGAGCCTTCGGAGGTATTGGATGTGGCCTGGAGGGGAGACTCTGGCCTTCCCTTTCAGCCTCCCTCATCTCCACTTCTGTCTCCAGTGCTCCTGGAAGGACCCTGAGGCTGAAGCCGCCCTTGAGCTGGCACTTAGCATCACACGAGTTGTGCGCTCCCTGCGTGCTGACTACAACCTCACCCGGACTCGGCCAGACTGTGAGCACCGGGCCCCTGTGCCTACCCTGTACCACAATCCCCTTTGCCTGCTCTGGTGACCTGGTGTCAGACCATCACTGACATGTCTCCTGGGCCAGGACTTACCTCCTCTATCTCTTGGCAGGTTTCCTGGAAGTAGCTGATGAGACCACCGGTGCCCAGGCCTCAGCCGTATCAGCCTACGTGCAGACCCTGGCCAGTGCAGGAGTGGTGGCTGTCTTGGCCTTGGGCGCTTCCGCACCACAAGGTTGTGCTGTAGCCCTGGCCTCTGACCGCTGCTCAGTCCACCTACAACTACAGGGCCTGGTTGACCCAGCTCGGGAGCTGAGCAAGCTGCAGGCCAAGCGAGGAGACGTGCAGCGACAAGCCCAGCGCCTGCGCGAACGCCGTGCTGCCCCAGGCTACCCAGCCAAAGTGCCCCAAGACGTCCAGGAGGCAGATAAAGCCAAGGTATGCGGTGGGGAAGCCTGTCACATTCCCCACCCCAGTAGCCCTTCCATCATAAAGTCCCATCCTTGGGAAATCTGGGAGGAGCACAGAGCCTGAGACTATGAACACATGGAGTTTGTGCCTGCAGGAGGTAGTGGAACCCCTCCTTTTATATGTGACAGAATGACATGACTCAGGGCCACACTGCAAATTTGAGACAGAATTAGACCTTGAACCGAGTATTCCTGCCTCTAGCCAGGCCATTCACACCCTACCTAATTGCCCTGAACATGGAATCCTACAGAACTGGGGCTGAGACCATATATACAGAGCCCCAAGTCTAACACTTACTATAGAGCCCACTAGTGTGCACCCCTCCACATACCGAAGAAACAGTAATGGCAGTTAAGAGTGGTCTCCACAGCTGAGCGTGGTTCCTCCCTGTCACTTCTCCCAGCAGCCCTCTATAAGTCACAGGGTGGGGCATCATCCCCTTTGTAAATGGAGGTTCAGTGACCTTGTGTTCCTGACCACTACACACTACCCAGGTTGGAGTGCTGAGAGCAGTCCTTTTTGTGGGGTCCATGGGCTCTGAGGCCTGTCTGTTCACTCTGGGAAAAGACAGACCCAAGAGAATGTGGTGCTGCTGGGGGGGCCAGTGAGAAGTCAGTGGGGGGAGTGGAGTAGAGATAAGTGCAAGTACTGACACTCCCTGAGGTACCTTCACATGGTCCTCAGCTATCTTGCTAACTCCTCTGTCAAACTGGCATTTGGAGGTCTGTTGTCCTGGACCTGAATCCTCACCATCCACCACCTCTGTTCTACCCCCAGCTCCAACAGACAGAAGCAGAGCTCAGGAAGGTGGAAGAAGCCATTGCCCTTTTTGAGAAGATGCTGTGATAGACTCAACTCCGACCCTCATGGCCCCACCATGGGGATGGCAGCAATAAACTATTTTGTCACAAAACCATTTCTTGTCTGTGTATTTAATAGGGGTGGGAGGGACAGAGGAAGGGCTGGGCTCTTGAAGGGTGTGAGCAGCAGGCGGTCTGCAGGCTGGGAGTGAGGCGCTGGGTCCTGATGGGCACGGAGATGCGTCTGTCTAGGTCTCTCTGGCACCATGCCAGGCCTGAGTCATGCTCCCTGGGCTCCCTCCTCCTTCATTCACCTCCGCACTGCAGCTGAGGGAGGCCTGCCGGTGGTACCAGCAGCCGCTCTGGCCTTGGGTAGGTGTAAGTAGAGGGGCTTGGGGCTGCCGATTCTGCTCCGCCCCTGCATGGCCCTCCCTCCTCCACTGAGTCCTGGTTAATTATAACTCTGACCTAAGTGCCCTGTGAGGACACCCCAGCCTCCCTACCCAGGAGATCCAACAACCAGGTAGTGGAGAGGCCTGGGAAAAGAAACTTCCGGGGTGTGTGGGTTTCCCTGTGACAGGGCTGGGGACTCAGCCTGGGGCTGATAAGGAGGCCTGGAAAAAGCCTCGGAGCTCACTCCTGGCAAGCCTGTGTCCTGCTGGCCTATTAAGACCTTCAAGTTGTCTGGGTGACAGGAAGCTGTGGAGAAGTAAGGTAGGAGCAGATACGGTGCTGGAGGGAGAGGAGGTGCTTGAGGAGGCCTGAGCAGGTGCCTCTGCAGACAAACCTCCAATCTGTCCTGGAATCACTGCTTTCTCCTATTCCCCAGGTCCATGTCTCAGCCATGCTTCCTGCAGAGGTGCTCCCACCCCGCCTGGGTTCCTCAGTGCTCCTGCTGCTACCATTTCTACTGCCTGCATCTGCTTTCTTCCCCAATTTTTGGAGCCTCCTGGCTGCCATTGGCTCCATCACCCACCAGGACCTGACGGAGGAGGCAGCACTCAATGTTACTCTGCAACTCTTCCTAGAGCAGCCACCCCCTGGCCGGCCGCCCCTCCGCCTGGAGGACTTTCTGGTAAGTGGCTTATTCTCTATCACGTCTCTGCTAGATGCTCTTATTCCCTGGGACCTCTGCTGCTTCAGGGAACATGGTTGTCAGGAGGAAGCATGCTCCCTCTGCCCTCTGCAACAATATACCCTGGGAGGTCTGGTCCTGGCAAACAAGAGCCTGTCCCTTGTAGGGCCTGCATTACTGTCAGTTCCTTCCATATCCATCCTTGAGTGCCTGTGTCTGAAATAAGGAGCAGTGGTGCAATCCTAGGGGCTTCCCTGGAGTCCCTGTCCCCTCCCATTTTCCAGGGCCGCACCCTCCTTGCTGACGACCTCTTTGCCGCCTACTTTGGATCTGGATCGTCTTCCCGGAGGTTCCGAGCAGCTTTAGGTGAGGTGTCTCGTGCCAACGCAGCCCAGGACTTCCTGCCAACTTCCAAAAATGACCCTGACCTGCACTTTGATGCTGAGCGGCTGGACCAGGGGCGCACACGCCTGGCAGCAGCTCTGAGAGAAAGCTTGGTGGCAGCCAGAGCCCTCGATCACACCCTGTCCCGCCAGCGCCTTGGGGCTGCCCTTCATGCTTTGCAGGTGAGAACACAGCCACAAATAAGGTCATGGTAAGAGAAGTCTTCACTTCCAGTTTGCCTGTCTCTAGGATGCAAAACTTCCTAATGGTGACTTCTTGATTATATCTTCCCCTATTCTGGAAGAAACTGAGGACTGCCTGCTAAGCCTTAAAGCTGTTTCCTAATTCCCCACCTCCCAAAATGGCAGTACTTCCTATAGGAACAGCAAGGAGGCGACTGTAGAATAAGTTAATGAGGTCAAAGAAATGAGGGGATAGGCACATCATACAGGACCTGCCCAACCATTGAAAAGCCTCTTTGATATACAAAGAAACACCGGGGGAGTTTCCACTTTGGATAAAACTCAAATGAATGATGAATAGTAACATTTTTGCGAGCCATGAGGAGAGTCTAGAGGTTTTTGAGAGCAGTGGGGGTGAGAGGCTTTCTGCCTAACAGACTGACGTGTTAAGACAGGTTAGTGCCTCATACTCTTCCTTCCATCCTCTGGACCCCCAGGATTTCTACAGTCACAGCAACTGGGTGGAACTGGGACAGGAGCAGCCACACCCTCACCTCCTGTGGCCGAGGCAGGAGTTCCAGAACCTGGCACAAGGTATAGAGTATAGACATGACCCAGGTGGTAGGTGAGAGTCAGTTATACCACCTCTGTGCTGTCTACCCAGCCACAGTGCCACATGACATAGATGTGGCATCCCTTCGTCTCTGGGAGGACCTGTGCTCTCTTCCTTAGTCTAACGAGGGGCCAGGTCAGTTATACAGCTTCCCCATGGTCACACAGGAAAGGACAGACAGCTTCCCCATGGTCACACATGAAAGGACAGAGCCAAGACCAGGTTCTAGACCTCGGCTGAGTCCTCAGCTTTTCTTGTGTGACTTCTTCCCATACTTGCTCATACAGTGTCTCATCCTCCCATATAGATTTGGAACCAGAAGTTGTCTCCTGTGCCCATTGCAAATTCACTTTTGTTTGGAGCTCAGAGAGGGCATAATCTCTATAGAATGAGCTTGTAAACCGAGTTTTCTAGCAGTTGGCCTCAGACAGTCTTGTTACCGGCTCCTGAGCTTTGAGGTTTAGTTCTGAAAACTCAGTACTACATAAAGCATTCTTACTTTGCTCCCATTGGGAGGAAAAGCCAAAAGTGTGGATGGACAGGGATAAAGGCAGGGGAACCTTAGGTTCGAGTCCTTTGTCCTCTCTTCCAGCCAGTGACCCTACCTGCTCTGATTGTGAGCAGTTGAGCTGCCCTGGGAATTTGCTGGACTTCCGACTCCTCACCTCTGGCTACTTTGGAACAGATCCCCCCAAACCTCCAGGTATCCAACATGAGAGCCTCTCAGAAGCAATGGTAGAAAGTCCCTTTTTGTTGACCCTTTCCCTTGGGATCTCAGTGTTATAAGCCCTGGTCTTATGATACCACTTCAGGGAAGAAGGAGAGGATCGTGTGAGTGGGTGGGTGGATGGAGGTCAGACCATGGCTATGAGGGGCAGCTTCTTACTCAGCTGATAGGATTTCTCCACTGCCCATGGGCAGCTTTTAGGGGCTGATGGGAGGGACCTGGGATCTACCATATGCCATAGTGACTACAAAAAGTCACCATTGTTTTCTTGGGATGCAGTGAATTTTTTGACCTCCACCCTCCAGGATCCCTTTCCCCATCTCAGGAAAATGTAGCCATGGGGGCCATTTTGACCGGAGCAGCTCCCAGCCACCCCGGGGAGGCATCAACAAAGATAGCACATCCCCAGGCTTTTCTCCACACCATGAGCTACATCTCCAGGCTGCAAATCTGGCTCTTCTAGCCTCCATCCAGGTCTTCAGCCTCATGCGAAGCCGCCTGGGAGACAGGGATTTCTCCAGGTGAGGGGCTGCCTTGCAGTGCCTCCCTGGTGGGGCTGAGTAGTATGGGCTTGAGGATGAATGCGCAGAGCCATCACTGGGTCTTTTGCCTCCTCCCCAGGTTGCTAGACATCACTCCGGTCTCCAGCTTGAGCTTTGTCCTGGACACGACGGGCAGCATGGGCGAGGAGATTAACGCTGCCAAAATCCAGGCCCGCAGCATTGTGGAGCAGCGACGGGGCACCCCTATGGAGCCTGCGCTCTACATTCTGGTGCCCTTCCACGACCCAGGTAACTGTGCAGGGCAGGTGAGCAGGGGAAGGAACAGTCAGTGCCCTTGCTGGGAAAGTGGGCCTCTAGCTCCAGCTCTTTGAAAAAATGGTAGAGCATCTTCTGATCCTGGTGGGCCTTTACTGGGTGCATGCACCTGCAGAGTAACAATCAGCTCTTTCTTCCACTGTTTTCAGAGTAGCAGCATTTTCTATGAAGTTTTTTGTTTTATTTTGTTGTTTGACAGACAAGCCCACTCTCCCCAAAATCTTCATCCCAATCTCTGACTGGAGAAAATGGAAAGAATTGAAAGTTAAACTATCAGACAAAAAACTGGAGGGGGGTGGGGAGAAATAGAGTTTTTTGGTACGCGTTTTAATTTTTAATTGTGGTAAATTTTTAAGCGATAAAACATTAGCCATTTCTGCAGTTTGCAGCAAGGGCATGTGGTGTGCACCTTGTATTAAAATTGCTTTGTCTTAAAACAAACAAACAAACAAACAACACACAAAAAAATTAGCCATTTCTACAGTCTTCACATGTACCAGTTGGATATTCCATTATGACTTTAATGCATGATCCATACCTCAGTTTTCTTAAGTTTCTGTGCTAGTAGTTTACTGTAGGCAGAAATTAGGATGAAAATTTGGGAGCAGGGGGTTCTGCCGCAGATCTATAGAACCCCCTTGGTGTGTCCTTGGTTCTGTAAAGTGTCTGACTAACTAGTCACATCACATTTATTTCTCCACTGAATTAGAAGTAGAAAAATTAGTTGATTAGTCTTATTGGGGTTTTTTGGGGGGATAAATTCCCCCCTTAATTTATTCTTACTGTGATTTGAATGAATGCTTGCAAAGCATATTCACTTTTCATTCAATTATGCATCACATTTTGTCGTATAACTTTAATTACAAAACCCACAATACAATCACCCTTTCCACTTTCTGTAATTCTCATTTCCATCAATCCTTCTGTCCTACCTCTTCCTGCCTTCAGGGCTTTTTTTATCTTTGAGCAAGTGCTGCTCTTTTTACCTTAATAATCTAACTATTTACCATTGCATGAGCACTGACTCACAGCTCACCCTCCAGAGAGTTTTCAGAGGCTGTAAATCACATGGGAAGAAACTGCTCATCTTTCTGCCAAGGAGCAGCTAGTAGATTCAAACTGTCTGCTTCTGGGTTGGTAGCAAAACTTTCCCCAGTTGGCCACCAGAGCTCCCTTGACCCTCTATGGATGATTATTCAAAGGAGTGAGTGCCCCTTTGTTGTTACTGGTCTTCTTAGAGGCCCATCTATCGTTTGTCTGAAAGCTGACCCACAGGGGTTAGTTTTACACCAGGCTCAAGAGGTGACAGTCTCAAAGCTTCCAGTGGTCCCTATCAGACCATCAAGCCTGGCCTTTCCCACCCTTTTAAGTTTTAAGAACTATGGATAATTGGATCACTTCTCTGACTCTGACTCCCAACATCAGGTGCTGTTGGCAGTGATTAGAAAGTGCTGTTGAGAGTTCAGGGCATTGACACAGTCAACATCTCGTCACTCTTCCAACTTCCACTGCTCCATGGCCCTGTACCTTATCCCTGAAGTCACCCCCTCTTTCTTTTTTTTATTATTATTAATTTTAATGAAAATGTACAGAGATTTTGGATTTCCATTTATTTATTGTTGCACTTTTCTCCCTGCCCACCTGTCCCCCTCAGTTCACTCTTCTCTTTGAAAAGTAAAAGAGAAATTCTTTCATCGTTGTACAATACATCCCCCAAGCCCACTCCACTATGCAGCCTTTGTTCTGTACTCCTGTCATGACAATAATACCTAATCACATATTTTTTTTAAACAGTTCTCTCCCTCATCTGTTTCAATGCAGCATACATTATTGAACCCATCTTTCTCAGCCTCCCCCCAACCCCGATGTCAGTCCCATTTTACAACAGTGGCACCATGCAGTATTTGTCCTTTTGTGACTGAGATACTTCACTCAGCATAATGTCCTCCAGGGTCACCCATTTTGAATAATATTGCATGAGTTCCTTGTTTTTCAATGCAGCATAGTAGTCCATTGTGTGACTACACCACAGTTTCTCTATCCATTTGTTTGTTGATGGGCACTTAGGTTGTTTCCAGCTCCTTGCTATTGTGAACAAAGCCGCAGTAAACATGGGTGTGCAAAAGTCTTCTTGGATGTCAGTTATGGTCTCTTTGGGGTGTATTCCCAGTAGTGGAATTGCTGAGTCAAATGGTATCTCTATTTGCAACTTTTCGAGAAAGCGCCACACTGCCTTCCACAATGGTTGTACTATTTTACACTCCCACCAACAGTGAATAAGGGTTCCAGTTTCTCTACAACCCCGCCAGCATTTGTTGCTTGCTGTTCTGTTAAATTTTGCTGTTCTTACTGTAGTGAGGGTGAGATGATATCATAGTTGTTTTTATTTGCATCTCTCTTAGAGATAGGATTTTGAACATTTCTTCATGTGTTTGTTGGACATATGAATGTCTTCTTTGGTGAAGTGTCTGTTCATATCTTTTTAACTGAGTTGTTTACTTTTGTCTTGTTGTGGTGCTCCAGTATTTTATAAACTGTAGATATAAGTTCCTTATCTGACATGTCATTACCAAATACTTTTTCCCAGTCTGTGGCTTCCCTTTTTATCCTTTTGGAGAAGTTTTTGGATGTGCATAGGGATTTGATTCTTAGAAGATCCCATTCATCTATTTTATCCTCTCCTGGTTGTAGATTTTTTTCAGGATGCTTGGAAGACTGTTTATGTTGTGGATTAGAACTTCTAGAGTTCTTCCAAGCTTTTCTTTAATGACGTTTTATAGTCTGGTTTTAGTCCTAGGTCCATGATCCACCTTGAGTTGGTTTTTGTGTATGGAGTGAGGTGTGGATCTTGGTTGAGTTTTCTGCAGATTGACTAGTCTCATTGTATATCCTTGGTCTGATCATTTAACCTCATTTTACCTTACTTGGGTCCATTTGCCAAAATGGATTCATTTAGCTCTGAGGAGCAGGAGGTAGACCCTCAGCTATTAACAGTGATTTGAACCCCCAAACTGCTCCATCGGAAGAAAATATGCCAATCTGCTTCTATAAAGCCTGGAAACCCCATGGGGCAGTTCTGCTCTACAGGGTTGCTAGAAGTTGTGCTCGCTTCGGCAGCACATATACTAAAATTGGAACGATACAGAGAAGATTAGCATGGCCCCTGCGCAAGGATGACACGCAAATTCGTGAAGCGCTCCATATTTTTGACCCTGAAATGAACCAGTCTGTAACGAAGGCTAACTCCTAACTCCTTTCACCTACAAATTTCGTCTTTGGATACAAAGCTAAGTGGATAATCCTTACGGAGGGACTGTTTAAAAAGAGGCAGGGAGAAGAAAAGAAAAGAAAAAAAAAGGATTGCTAGAAGTTAGAATCTACTTGACAGCAATGGGTTTGGCTTAATTTGTAGACCTGCCTTATCCTGTCTAAAGTAGTCCTGGTAGGTAATAGGTAACATATTAGGCTGCCAAACAAAAGATTGGTAGTTCTAATCCACCAGCCGCTCCAGGAGAGAAAGATGAACAGCCTTCTGTAGATTTACAGTATAAGAAACCCAATGGAAAATCACTATGAATTGGAACCAACTTGACAGCAATGGCTCATCCTGCCTAAAGGAACCCTGGTAGCACAGCAAGTTAGGCACTGAGCAGCTGCTCACCAAAAAGTTGGTGGTTGTAGCCCAGCTGTTACCCACTTGTGGGAGAGAGGAGGCAGTCAGCTCCTTTCAAAACATTCAACCTGAGACCCTGTGGAACAGTTCCCTGTTCTGTAAGGTTGCTGGGATTCAGCATCAAGTTCACAGAGTGGGTTTGGTTTTGGGTGTCACCTGAGGAACCCTGGTGCAAAATAAAGGATTCAGCTGTTAACCCGAAGTTTGGAGGTTCAAACCATCTCAAAACTCTGTGAAAGGAAGATGAGGCTATCTGTTGCGGTAAATCTGTAAAGCTTTAGAACCTTGGAACCCTGAGGGGCAGTTCTCTGACCAATACGGCAACTGTGAATCAGAATCAACTTGACATCAGTGGGTCATGTTTGGTTTTAGATCTTGCCTATCACCCAGGGTTGAAATGGTGATCAAATAAAGAACCTCCTAGGATATCCCAAAAGATGGGGTTTTACTCTGGTTTGTCTATAGAAGGCAATTTTAGGGATTGGCATTTGATAGAGAGTTGTTACCTTTGCTGATGATACCAATAAATGTGTCAGTAAGAATTTACCTCTTTTTTGTGTCAAGGCACTAGTCTAGGATTTACAAAATCAACTTCTAGTTCTTCCAATAATCTTCTGAAGTACTGTTATTTTCTCTGACTTTTGTGACAAGGAAACTTGAGGCCCCAGTTGCTGTTTTAGATACACATAACACCCAGTAAATACCTCCCTCCGTAGGAGCATAGGAAGTGCCACCATTCTGTTAAGAAAGCAGAGTCAGGAGCACTAACTTTCCACCAGTGGTTCCTAACCCCTGCCCTGTACTAACGTGTAACCCATTTAAATTTAAAGTATTATTTCAATACTTGTCTATCCCAGGAGCACAGCAGGCCTCTCAGCTGGGGCTGTGTCCCTGGGTGGAAACGAGGGTAGCTTTCTCTTACTCATCTCAGTCTCCTTGCATCTCTCCAGAGTTTGGTCCTGTGTTTACAACCAGTGACCCCGACAGCTTCTGGCAACAACTCAATGAGCTCCACGCCTTGGGCGGTGGAGATGAGCCTGAGATGTGCCTATCAGCCTTGGAGGTCTGGCCCACCGCCTTCCCCCTTTGTTCTCTCCTTCTCCCCTTTGTCCCATCCCTGCCACCAAGAAAAGCTAGACCTTTCTTTCCTGGGACACCCCCACCATCTTCCCTACTCCTTTCCACACCTTCACTCACCATTCCAGGTCCGTCTTGCTTTTTGCTTTGTCCTCCCTTGTTTTTCCCTTCTCCTTCTTACTGCCCTTTTTAATGCTACCCTTTTTCCCTCCCTGCCAGCTGGCCCTGCTGCACACACCTCCGCTCTCAGACATCTTTGTCTTCACTGATGCCTCCCCTAAGGACGCCTTTCTCACCAACCGGGTGGAATCTCTGACTCAGGAGCGACACTGCCGAGTGAGCATCGCTGGTGGGAGACCCATAACTGACTAGCCACCTGGTGACATGACATACCCTGTGACAAGAGTCTTATGTCACAGCACGTGATGGTGGTCGAGCAGCCAGAGCTCGGGAGGGGAGGAGCAGGAAGTGAAGGTCTTACTTCCTGATACATTGAATAATGCTCCAGAGTGTGAGACCCAACCCTTAATAATGTTGCATTCTTATTTTAACCTGCTCCAGTAAAGCATTTGAAGAACTGGGAATAGAATAAAAAATTATATAACCAATTTTAAATATAACCAAAAATTTGCTGTGAAATAGTAACATGATGGTTACAATGAGAGCAGCCAGCTACTAACTGAAGGCTTGCGGTGAAGGATTGTATTATCAGAGACCTCCACAGAAGCAGCCAGAGGCTAGACAAAAGCTGTGTCACCCATCATAAGCTTTGTGGAAAGTGTGAGCACAGGAGTTCTTTATTCATAATGGTAGATGGCATTCAGACACAAGACACAGGAGTTCTTTATTCATAATGGTAGATGGCATTCAGACACAGTCTCTTCTGGCCATAGGTGACATTTCTAGTGACTGAAGATCCTTCGAGGGTGCGGATGCGGACCCGGCGTGAGGTCTTGTCCCCTCTGCGTTTTAAGCCATATGAGGCAGTGGCCCTAGCCTCAGGAGGCGAGCTGATCTTCACCAAAGACCAGTACATTCAAGATGTGGCAGCCATAGTTGGAGAGAGCATGGCTGACCTGGTAAGTGAGTGAGGGTCAGGGGGTCACCATCCTGAGCTGAGAACTAAGGTGATGAATGACATTTTAGCTCTTTCTCCTCAGTCAAAAGAGGCAGAGGTCCCATTGCTATAGTGCCATTCCAGGCAAGGATGGGAAAGGAAATGTCTTTCCCTCTAAGATTCACAGCTACTCACCTTCTGCATTGCTATTTCCATGTTAGTATCATGTGCCATCTTGGTCTGCAGTATTCTGCCCTGCACACTGCCACAAGAAGTCTTGCCATCTTTAAAAGGGAGAACAGGAAGTGACCACCTCATTCTTAATTCCTTACCCCCAAGTTTGCCGTTGACGACTAATCTTACTCCTGTGCCCCTCTCTCACTGGTATACTTTCTCTCTTAAAAACAAACAACAAAAACAAGAAACTGCTGTCAAATTGATTCCAAGTCTGATTTCCACAGCTAATGGGAAGAGACTACCTGTCTTTCTCCCATGGAGCAAGCTGGAGCTTCCAATCCACCAGCCTTTCCATTCACAGTGCAGCACTCACTGTGCACCCCGCCACCAGAGATCCTTATTCTTTGTCCTTGTGTGACTTTCTTTCTGTCTCCTAGTTCTCTGTGTCTCATCTTCTCCCCTGGTTTTGGTTTCTGCCCATCCCCCAAGGTGACACTTCCCTTGGAACCCCCTGTCGTGGTTTCTGGGAAGCCACTCGCATTCACTGTGGATGAGATGCTGCAGAGGATCACAGTCCGGATCCATGGAGAAGTCAGCAGTTTCTGGATCAGGAATCCTGCAGGTATGTCCGTGCTTGTAGCTCAAGGAAGAGGGAAGAATGGAGACTTGAGTATGAGGGAGGTGCAGTAGGGGAAAGGGAGAGGGACTTAAGATCTGAACTTGAAGAGAAGAGAGAAGAATAATTGTCTCATATGGCAGGGTTTTTTCCCATCTCTCCCCACAGGGATCTCCCAGGACCAGGAGGAAGGTCAGGGTCCTCTCGGTCACACTCGACACTTTGGGAAGTTCTGGATGATGACTCTGAATGAGCCCCCCCTGAAAGGATCCTGGGAGATCCAGATCACAGCTGAGGGCACTCCACGGGTAAGAGTACAAGGTAAGGAGGGAGGTATCTTGTCAAAGGGAAGGGGGATCTGCAGACCTCAGATCCATCAGTTACGTTCATTGTGGGAGAGTCCCTGACCGCCTTTGCCCTCTGCAGCCCAGACCTCCGTGGACTTTCTTGTTCACTTTGGGATCCCAGTGGAGGAGGGACCCCACCCTGGCCTCTATCCGCTGACGCAGCCAGTTGCAGGTACATTTACTGCCCATCCTTCCACACCCAGTTCATAAATCCTTTTAAAATAGATTTAAACTTTTGCATTGTAGTTTACCATGGTGAAGTACACTAAGGAGCTGTGGTGGCGCAGTGGTTAAGTACTCTGTTACCAGCCAGAAGATACCAGCTGCTCAGCACATGAAAGACATAGCTCTAGAAGCCCAAGGAGACAGTTCTACTCTGTCTGACAGGGTCACTGAGAGAATTGGTGGCAGCAGATATTGGGAGAGGGGGGTGGCTTACCTTCAGATTTCATATGTAAACCTATCATGCATTTCAAAATACAAGAATTTTCAGCATCCCAGAATCCCTTCTGATCCTTGCTATCAGTTGCCCCCATACTACCAAGAGGTAACCCTTATTCCAAAGGCAGTTCATCATTTTTCCTTGTGTCGCTGACTCTCACGCAGACCATGGTTCCCTTCTCTATCCCAGGTCTCCAGACTCAGCTGATGGTGGAGGTGACAGGACTCAGCTCCAGGGCGAACTCAGGGAATTACAGGCCACATTTCTCTCACGTTATCCTTCGAGGGGTCCCAGAGGGCACAGAACTAGGCCGGGTGTCCTTGGAGCCTGTGGGTCCCCCTGAGCGAGGTCTCCTTGCAGCCTCCCTGCCTCCCACACTACTGCCCACACCTGGGCGCTTCACCTTGGAACTAATTGGCCAGGATGGAGCGGGTCAGAGCTTGCACAGGGCAGCCCTCCAACCCTGCACCATGGCCCCAGTGCTTCTGGAGGTGAGATGCCTGGGGAGGTGCAGCCGAGGCTGGAGGGAGCTGAGGTGGAGCCTCCACTGACAGGCCCACCTCTGCAGCTCAGTGGCCCTCCTGGTTTCCTGACACCAGGCACCCATACCCAGCTCAGCTTCTACATTGCCAGCTTCTTGGGCCCTCAAGAGCTCAGCCTTACTGCAACAGTCAACCCCAGCTTTGCCCTCACCTCTAACCTCTCCAGGTGAGACCTCTGAACCCTGTGGCTCCTTTCTGGCCTCGCTGTTCCCCAACCCCTCTTCACCCCCCTCCATTATCCTAAGCCCCGATTCTGGTCCCTTCTGATTGTGCCTCATATTCTTCTGCCCTTGTGCTGTCTGTGGCTCCACTGACTGGTTCATGGTTCAGTGGTATCTGGGCTTAAAGCAGCTAGTCTTTTATTCATCCTCCAGGGTTCATCTGGGACAAAATGAGTCTGCCTGGGGACACCTGTGGCTGGAGGTCCCAGATTCAGCTGCCCCTGACTTGGTGGTGATGGTGACAGTGACTGCGGAGGATCTAGAAGCCAGCTCAGTGCCCCCAACCCATGCCTTCCTGCGGCTCCTGGTGCTGGCTCAGGCCCCCCAGGTGAGACATCCCCCCAGTTCTTCAGAGGGTAGGTCAAAGAGAGGGCCCCACCTCATCCCAACTGTATAGTTCAGATTTACAGCAACCCTACAGGACAGGGTAGAACTGCCCTGCAGGGTTTCTGTGACATAAATCTCACTGGATACATCCTGCCACATCCTTTTCAGTGCCTGGTGGGTTCGGACCACTGACTTTTCCATTAGTAGCTGAGTACTTTAAACACTGTATCACCAAGTTCCTAAAGAGCGCTGTTGTTATGTACCATAAAGTTGGAACTGATTCATAGCTGACCCTCCAGTGGGTTTTCAGAGGCTGTAAATAGCGTGGGAAGAGATTGCCCTTCACCCACCCTGATGGTCTCTCCTCCTCCCTAGGACCAGCTCACTTCCTCGGTCCACTCAACCGGCTCTGTCCTCACCACAGCCAGCCCTGCCTTTGCCCCGTCCACTGTGATGACACAGGGGAGGGCTGGTGGTGGGATGTCGGGCAGCCCCTGGTGGGGCACAGTTGGAGGGGTGCTGCTCCTGCTGGGCCTGTCCTCCTGGTAACAGAAGAAACCCTAGAGGGATGGGTCCCAGCACGTTTTTCAGTCTGCTCCACAGTAGGAAGGAGATCCGGGCCTTACCTTTCCATGCGGAGGCGGACGTTTTCTTTCTCATGTGCTTTGTCCCTTCTCTGTGTTAAAACTGTTAAGTGTGGGGTGGAGGACGATGAATTTTCCCACGGTGCACTTTCCTTCTCAACCATGTGGGATCCAAACCAAAGACTTAGTTTTAGAGAAAACTGCTTTCTAATTCTTTGGTAGTGTCTTTATTCTGCTACCTCTTCATGCTTGCCCAGACTCAGGTAGAGAAAAAGTACATGGAGCAGAGACCAGACTGGGACTGGGATAGGAAGATAATGTTGTTAGGTACTGTTGAGTCAGCTGCAACTCAGAAAGACCCTGTGAACAATGGAGCCTATCCCTGCCCTATCCTGTGCCATCCTCATCATCTCTGACATCTTCAAGGCCACCTTACAGTTTCTGTGTCCATCTCTCTCATTGAGTGTCTTCTACTCTTTGGCTGACCCTCACCTTTCCAACCCCAGGAGGGAACCATTGTTGTTGTTTGCCATCAAGTTGGAACCAACCCATAGCTGACCCTCCTGGGGGTTTTCAGAGGCAGTAAATTGCATGGGAGGAGATTACCTATCATTTTCCTGTAGAGCAGCTAGTGGGCACTGGGAAGTATTATTTCTAGAATTTTTAAAATTTGAGACTCCAGAACAGCTTCTATTTTATTTTTGTATTTAAAGCTGCAGAACAGATTAAATAAACATGTCTTTTCTCCAGAGGAATTTTGAAGAAAGATAATTTTTTTTCACATCATATAGGGCAGGATGAGGGCATGAAACACCAAAAAGATGAAATGGAAGTGTTGAGGAACAGAGAAACAACTATACCAAGATGTCTAAACTTCCACTGAACCTAACCTAGGTGGCTGTTGGCTTAAGAAGCAGAAGGAGGGAGCTGAGGGCTCTGACGTGGCCTCCCCTCAGCCATCTGAGGAGAGTGAGAGGAGGTGTCAGACAAGCGTAGGGCCCCACCGCCTCTTGGGCTCCACTGTCTCCTCCTGTGTCTGGGTGACTCCTTTCCACTGCCTTGAGGACTCCTGAAAAAGAGGAGAGAGAAGCAGCCTAAGCAGTGGAGTGCCTTCTGTCCTGTGGGGTGAGAGCTTCTCTTTCCACACACCTACAGTTTACCTGTTGCTGCCACAAATTCAGCTTCCTTCGCCTCTCCTTCCCCTGCTGGGTGGTACAGGAACTACCTTTGTTCGATGGATGTCGGGAGAACTGAGAGGAAAATGAGCTGTTTCCTGATAAACCAGTAGTGACCTTCAAAACGCCCCTCTCTCCCCTCATCCCAAACATTTAAACTAAAAACAATAAACTCACCTTCCCCCGAATGAGATTCTGCAAACAGTGGTTCACCTTTTGTATCTGGGATAACTGGGGGCCACAAGGCTCTGGGTGTAAATCTGCTAGAAAATTCTAAAGAAGACAAAGTTGGAGGCTAATAACATGGAGAAAATCTGAGGTCTACCTGCTGCTCTCGTCCTGTCCCCATAGGACATTCCTTTCCACATGGGTTACCTCATCCTAGCAGGTGGAAAAATCCAATGGTCTGCATCTCCATCTCTTCAGCATTTTAGTTCCTAAATTTCCTTAAATTAAACACCACAATACCCTCTTTTTCTATTCTTTGTGCCCTTGGAGTGGTGCAGGCTACTCCCCTGTCTCAATGGAATGATCCAAATCATGTCCCTTTGAATGGAGAGTAGACCAGCATCCCCCATCCCAATAATGGACACCACACCTACCACTCAGCATCCTATAATTACTATGCTGCTTCTGATTCCTGCCCATTAACTCTCTCTTCTCCAGAATGGTCACATTCCCAGTCCATCCCTTGCATCACATACATACACACACAGGTAGCTACATACTTCACCGAGGGCCCCCAGGTGTAGCTGCTGCTGCTGTGCCTCCCTTAGATGGTTCCCAAACCAGGCTTGACACTGCTCCAGCAGCTCCAGCCCCTGCCACAGGGCATCTTGCTCTCGCTCCAGGGCCTGCATTCTCTGAAGCTGGAAAGGCAGGAAGTACAAGTTGACTGGACCTCTGTCCTGCCTCTCAACCCTTGCGGGATCATTGTCTGGTCACAGGTTATGAGCCCAGACTGACCACTGTGAACCTGGATGGCAAGGAAAGGGGGAACACTTTGAGAGTTCTTAAAGTTGAATGGACACATGGAGGCAAACCTAGAAAGAAGTGTTGGCGAATACTTACCCAGAGGAAGAAGCTCCGGGCCCCTGGATCCTGGCGGCTTGTTCCCAGTGGCAGCAGCAGGACTGTGTAGGGAGTCCGTGCCAAGGGCAGCCCTCCGGAAGCCCTGCTCCCCATGGCTCTGAGGTGGGAAGGGTGGAGCCACTCCCACTAGTGCAGCCGGGCTAATCCCTGCCCTACACCCATCCTCCCAGTCTTTCAGTCTCAGGGCCTTCTCTAACATATCTAAGGTTGAAGTGTTCCTATTTATGGGAAACCATGTGTCCCTTGGGCTTCTCTGCCTCTTAGGGCCTCCCTAACATGCCTTTGAACTCCCCCTGGATAGAATCTGAGGATCTACCTACAGCAGTGTCACTGTTTTCAGTAAGTCCATGGTGGACTTATGCTCTGCATTCAGCTTCTTCCTATTTTCTCTTGTGTTTTGAATGGCCTAAGAAAATGACAGCTCTATCCAAACAAACTTTATTCCTAATATGAAACAAATGCGCAGGGAAATGGGAAAGGAAAAACCTGGGGTTAAAAGAGAAAAGGAAACAAAATGGGCATGAAGATAATCCGGGGGTGGGGGAGCCTTGGAGAATGGGGGAGAGCAGAAGAAAGGCCCTTAGAGGATGGAGCTGGCCGCAGGCAGCACTTCCTGACTCATGAATGCATCCAGATCCAGGCCGGGGTCTTCCAAATCCAGTTTCAGAAACTTATCCACCAAGGCCTGGCAACTGGAGGAGAGAGAAAACAGACTTTTGGTTAAGATAAAAGAGTCTGAATCACAGGAAGCATGGGATCTTGAAGATGTTGGGTTTCTCTGAAGGGTGAAGTGCTGGCAGAAGGCCCTCTGAGGCCCTGGAGAGGGGAGAAGGCCTGGAAGAGATGAACAAGGACACTAGGCCACACACTCACTTTTTCATTTGATTCTCTTTTTGTGAATCCTTGACAGGCTTGATTGGTTTTCCACTGCGGATTAAGTCTGAGATCTAGGACCAATCAGAATGATGAGAGGCAAAAGAGTCAAAGGACAGAAGTAGAAGTCAGAGACCTTGTGGGCCCAGAAACTCAGGGGTCTCCTGTCCCTGAGAGGAGCAGGAGCAATAGGAAGAGGACCCTGGATGGGAGGTGGCTTGCATAGAATCACCTCCTTGCCACGAGCAATAAGATTGTCAGGAATCCCAGCTTGGGCAGCTGTGTGGGAAGCATGGCTGGCATTGGCAACACCTTTGCAAATCTGGTAGAAGAAGACAAGGTCATCTCCATCGTCACACGTCTCCATGGTCTTAAAAGAAAATAAAAGGGGGCAACGTATCATCAGCCATTCTGCTGCTTTTCCTGAAGCCCTTGGTTAACCCCTGTGGGGAAAAGAGAAGGGAGAAGATCCCTTCAAGGTTTAAGGAACCCTTGTTCCATTGGAGACGCCAGTTCTCATATTGGAGAAACCCCAGCCCCGGGACTAAGTTGGTTTCCTTACCAAATACTCAATGAAGGGTCCTTGTGGCAGCAGCTGTAACTGAACAAGACTCAGAAAGTTGGTGGCCACAAAGATCTGTGGGCATGTGGGGCCGAGGGCCAGCCAGTGTCGGAGCACAGCAGCTAGGAGGGCAAGCCCGTCCACCTGTGCAGAGGGCGTGGTGAGGCTGCGGATGCCCCTCTGCCAGCCCTGGCTCTTCCTCTCGCCCACTGTTTCTCCTCTGCCCACACATCCCTATTCTTTCCCCAAGGTTCAGCCTCCCTCTCATGCTCCTTCATCTCCTGTTTTCCCCTCCTCAGTTTCTAATCATTTTCTCCCCTCACCGTGTTGGTTCCCTTTCCGAATTCATCGATAAGGACCAGAGATTTCTCAGTGGCATTGTTCACAGCTTTTGCGACCTGCCAGACATGAGGTGGACAAAGGAGTGTTTGGTTAGCATCCTGAAGAGGGCTGGAACATGCTGGCCACAGTGTGTAGAAGGCTGTTGATGGGGCCTCTCACTGGACTACAAGGTTTTTCATGGCAAAGTACATGTTTTGTTCTTTCCTTCATTGCCAGCAGTGCCTTACATAAAGTAAAGGTTCAATAAATGTTTATGGTATTGATTTTTCCAGCCTCTGAACTGGGTGTTCCCCAACCCTAGTGTAGAGGGCATGCCAGCAAAAGGAATTATTTTCTTACTCTAAGCATTTTTGGGGGAGGTGGAGTTCTTGTCCCCCATCCCCCTTTTCAACCTCCCTTTGCACCCTTTAACCTGGTTGAGGTCGATCATGAAGGTGGAAAGGCCAAGGGAGATGGATTCACAGCTATGGATTCGAGTGAAGATGGCATCTACTGTCCCGATTTCAGCCTCCTCTGCTGGCACAAAGCTGCCCACCAAAGCCATGAATGTGATCAAGCCTACCTGAACAGGGAAGGAAACAGGGCCTGGTGCATGGGCTGAGGTGAGGGTGTAAATGATAGTTCAAGGACAGGTGGACTCAGCTGAACACAAGACGGGAGGGGAAGGTAATAGAACACACCATTTTCCTCCTCTCAAAATCTTAATCTCTCCTTAAGCTCACTCTAGAGTGGGCAAAGCATATTTGGGGATGTTCAGAGCTGATTTTTGTTGTAGTTATGTGCTGTTGAGTGGCTTGTGACTTACAGTGACCCTATGTACAGCAGCTCTCAACCCTGCTCTATCCTGAACCAGCCTTACTGTCTCAACACACCTACCCCCATTACTCCAGTCACTGAGTCAATCCATCTCATCGAGGGTCTTCCCCTCCTGCGCTGTCCCTCCACCCTCCCAAGCATGACATCCCTCTCCAAGGACTGGTCCCTCCTTGTAACATGCCCAAAGTATCTGGTGCTTCAGAATCCTTGCCTCCAAGGACCAGTGTGGTTTCACCCTTTTCAGAACAAACCTGTTCTCTTAGCAGTACGTGGTATATTCAATACTCTTGTTCAGAGGTGGGTGAAGGGAACTCAGGCCATGAAGAGATCGGCACTGTCTAGGATATGAGGCAGAGCTGTGGAGGGGCTGGGGCAGGGAAGAGCTGGAGGGAGCTGGATTGGCTAGAAGATGGGGAGTAGGTGGAAAGGCAGAAAAGATGCCAGGGGCCCAGGCTGTTGGGAGTTCACCTCACCTGTTTGAGGTATATACTCTTCCCTGAAGAGTTGGGCCCAGTGATGACTTTGACCCTCCCTTTGTCCCCACCACATTCTGCAGAGTTGGGCACAAAGGTTCTGGCACAGAGTTCCATCAGAGGATGTCTGGAGTGGGTGGAGAGGAATCTCTAAGTGCACAGCCCAGGTGGGTGAACCCCTCAGGAGACAGGCCCTTGTGGACATGCTTCCACCCACTCCATTCTCACCTGCCTCTCTGGATTCTTACTCCAAGGAGTCTGGGGGAGTATTGGGGTCTTGAGTAGCCATAGTCCCTGGCAGCACTGGCAAGAGCCAGCAAGACATCCAGGCGGGAAGCAAGGTCCAAAACCCGGGTCAGGACAGCTGCCCGGGCCAGCACCTGACATTGCAGCTGATACATCAATAAAGTCTCTTGGTCTGGGGGGGCAGGTAAGTGGGAGCTGAAGGTCAAGGCCGGGGCAAGGTGAAGCACAGAGAAATCCAGCAACAGGGTTGCAGAGACAGTCCAAGACCCTAAGAGATACTCAGAGGAGATGATACAGAGTTGGAGTAAGAGAAACAGAAAACAGGTGAGGCCCCTCACCCCAGCCTCTTGAGTCTCCTCACCCCGGATCTCACAGTGCAGATCCCCCAGCAATGCGTCCAGCTCCTTGGTTCGAGCACTACGATAATGCAGCTTCTCCTCTGACAGAAACTGTACACAAGGGGTCAAAGCTAAAGGTTTTGCTGCTCTCAGTCTTCCTCTCCTGTCTCACCTCACCTCCAGTCCCCAACCCAGATTTTTCTCCTTTGTCTCAGCTGGCAAAAATTGACAGAGGTATGATCCCATAATGGCCAGCACTGATGGAGTGAGGCCCCCTTGGCATGATTCATGTTCCTTATCACGGCCCTGTGCAGGTCAAGTCTTACCATGAAGTCCAGTCCCTCAATCTCAAAGTCACTGGCCTCCACCATGGACGGCAGGCGGGGAATAGAAAGAAGGAAGCCAATCTGGGGAGAGTACAGAGGAGGTAATGAAGAGGGACTGGGAATCTTCTACCACAGCAGTAGCCTAGACACTCCTGTATCCACCACCAAAAGTCACATGTTTTTCAGACTCATCCAGTAGTTTTTTATTACTAACGTGTGTCTCTCGTAAGTCTAATGTCTCCCCTAAAACCCTGCTACACCCTACAGACCTCACCAGAGGGATGTAGATGACACTGCATGAAGGAATACGGGAGTCCAGAATATCCAGCTCCTTCCGAGCGACTTCTGTGAGGAAACTGGGCAGTCCCATCAGCCTTCGTTTTTCTAGGAGGTAAAAAACACAAAAGGAAGGTTGACTCTTCTTGCCCTGGATGCTGATGATCTCCAGTTATAGTAAATAACTGTCAGTGGTACCTCACCACCAGACACCTAACACTCACTCTCATCGATTTCAGGATCTATGTTGGGGAGAACGGTGAAGCGGTTTTCAGCAAGGCTGCCCTCAAAGTCCACCTGAGAAGGCAAGGAGTCCTGTTTCTTTCCACCCCAGTACCATTGCTCAGTCCTGTTCCCCAGCTTACCTGGGCCCCAGTTTCCCTCTGTACAGTTCCAGCTTCAGTCCTAACCCTCCAGGCATATCCTGATGTTCTACCTTTTCTCACCATCCATTCTTTGATCCCCTAACTGACCAGCACCTATACTCCCAAACCGCAACCCCACTCCTTCTCCCATATCATTTTCCCCCCTCATCCTTCTCAAGAGCTCTGTCTCTTTCTTTCCACTCACTACTTTCCCAATGAGGCTGGCGATATGATGCAGGTCATCAGAGAATTCCTGGGCAATGTTCCGGAAGAGCTGAATGGACTGAGGCAGGGAGCGGCACGCATCCCTGAGGCCCAGGGCACTGTACACAGTCTGTGGGGATAAATGGACAGAGAAAGGCAGTCCATACCCAGGATGGGCTGAATGAGGAGGACAGGAATAGACTGAAAAGAACAAAACAAGAAAGGACTCAAAGACAAAAAGAAAAGAGAAGGGCAAATGGCATCTGTCAAAGTCTGTGCCAGGCTCATATTTTTTTAAAAAGTGCAACTACTTGTATGGCAACAGTCTGGAACAAGGGGTGCATTGCTGGGTGGGCTGAGGAGGAAGAGGGAAGAAAATGTGCAACAATAAATAAAAAAATAAGGAAGAAAAAATGAAGCTACTATGAGGTGGATTGATTCAGTGACTGGGATAATTGGGATGGGAGTGTCAGAGACGGTGCTATTGGCACAGGACAGAGCGGAGTTTAGGGCTGTTGTACATAGGGTCGCTATGAATCGCAGGCGACTCGACGGCACATAACAACAACAACTATGGGTTAAGTAAATATACTATAGATAATGAGAACTGAAGTCAATCTTTGATGTTCATCAGTTAAGTGCTTAAAGTCTTCTTCAATTATAACAAACAAGGTTGTATCATCTGCATTTTCAAGGTGGTTAATGAGTCTTCCTCCAATCTCGATGCTTCTTGGACTATTTGCTCAACATACAGATTGAGTAAGTATACTGAAAGGATACAACCCTGACAGATATCTTTCATGATTTTAAACAAATTGTTCTGTTCCAGTAACTGCCTCTTAGTCAATGTACAAGTTTCACACATATACAATTAAGTGTTCTGGAATTCCTATTCCTCACAATATCATAACTTATTAGTCACATAATCAAATACATTTACATAATGAATAAAACACAAGTAAACAAGCAGCAACTACAACAACAAACAAATGCAGGTAAACATTTTTCTGATATTCCCTGCTTTTAGCTAAGATCCGTCTGGTGTCAGCAATGATTTTTGCCGTTCCCTCTAGATAAACAGCTAAAACAAATTTTAAATTATTTTCAGTAAGATTTTACTTGTGTGAGATGTTAATGATATTGTTAGACAATTTCTACCTTTTCTTGGATCATCCTTCTTTAGAAGATGGATTGTCCTGATTTCAAATCCTACTACACTGCCGTAGTGGTAAAGACAGCATGGTACTGGTACAATGACAGACACATAGATCAATGGAATCGAATTGAGAATCCAT